GCACGGTGCAGCCCGCCATGCTGCAGGGAGCAGGGACACTGGACACGGCCTGCCCTGGGGACACCGCCTGCCACGGGGACACATGGGGACACAAAAGCCCATAGGGCCCTCCTGGCTCCATGTGCACAGAGGCCCTGGGGGGGCCGCATGAAGACCGCTAGGGCAACCGCTGTTGCGTGTGTATGGAGGCCGCAGGGGGCCGCACAGAGCCTCGTATGGACGCCCTGGCCTTGCGAGCTCGGAGACCCCGAGGGACTGTACAAAGGCCCGTATGGCCCTCGCGGCCCTATGTGCACAGAGGCCAAAGGGGACCACACAAAAGCCTGTGGGACCTCCCTGTTCCACTGCACACACAGGGCCCGAGGGAGCCGCGCAAAGGCCCTTAGGACCCACCCTGCTCCCTGTGCACGGGGCTGGGGGCCCTATGGGCTTTCGTGCGGCCTCCCCAGGCCTCTGTGCACGCTGGGCCTTGGTGCAGCCCGCTAGGGCCTTCGTGTGCGTAGGCCCTGGAAGGCTCCTGGAAGGTCTACGGTCCCTGTGAGGCCCCCACGGTTTCTGTACAGGCCCAGGTGAAGTCTGCAGTCCCTGCGTGGCCCTCCGGGGGCTCCATACGGGCCTGAGTGGGCGCTACAGTCCCCACACGGCCACCTGCAGACTCTGTATGGGCCCAGGTGGGCTCTGCGGGCCCCATGCAACACTCCACGGCCTTCCTATGGGCCTGGCCAGGCTCTACGGGTGCCATGTCACCCTTCGTGGGCTCCTATGGCCCCGGGAGGCACCTACAAGCCCCGTGTGACTCTCCACAGTCTCCATATGGGCCCAGGCAAGCCCTACGGTCCCCACGCAGCCCCTTCCCTGGACACCTTACACATCTAGGCAGGCTCTTCAGACCCTGCACAGCCCTCCGCAGTCTCTGTAAGGGCCTGGGCGGGCCCTAGGGACCCCGCACGGCCACCCGCAGGCTCCATTCAGGCCTGGGAGGACTCTCTGATCCCCGCGTGGCCATCTGCGGGCTATATAGGTGCCTGGGCGAGCATTACAGGCTCCAAGCAGCCTCCCATGTGTTCCATGCGTGCTTGGGCGGGCCCTACAGGCCCTGTGCGGCCCTCCTTGGGCTCATGGGTGAGTCTGTTCCTCTTGCCATGGGGGTGAGCCTCTGTATGAGGAGGGTTCAGCCTGGTTGAAGCAAATTGATGGTTTTGTTTTCCCCAGGGGGTCCCCCCTGAGGTGGATGAGCTCTTGTTTGGTGGCAAGTCTGTTTTGGGAGCTTTTGGGCTCCATCGAAGGGAGTGGGAGGCCTCGACCTGTCTGGGGCCTTGCAGGAGGTTCCCGGGAGGCTGGTGGTGGCCTGGCAGGTTGTGCCCCTCTGTGCAGCGTGGCATGAAGTGTGCAAATCCCCTGCTGATGCCACAGGATTCCTCAAATTAAGGCTAATCAGTCTTATTTCAGCTTCAGACTAAAATCTTTATTGCTTACATTAGTAAAATGGACAATATACACGGAACAGAGTGAACATAAGATATCTTTTTCCTTAACATGTCTGTGGGTAGGATGAAGAAGCAACCCCTCCACAGGGTCCTGGAGTTAGCGACTCCTATGGAAGCAAATGTGAGAGAGAAAACACATAAATCCTTATAGTACTGCTCTAAGCCATTTTAATTTGCTTTATACAAGGAAAAAAGAAGTTGTATCACCCTCTCTACCCTCTCTACAGGGGGAAGAGACTTTTTCTAATCTACCTTCATTATTTGAAAACTGTTTTTCGCCACTTTGTCCTAAAGATGGCAAAAAGATGCCTTTGCAGAGCCAAACTCTAGCCAGAGCTCTTAACTTTTCAGACAAAACCATACCACCTGGTTCTTTATGGAAATCATATACCTAAATTCTAAAATTGATTGAGCAATGCAGCAAGCATTTTTGCATCAGGGCCTTTGTATCCTGGGAAGGGTACAAAGTAATGGGAAGAGACTTGCAGGAGGCTTTTAAGAACAGGATCGGTAGAAGAGCCACTCACATTGCTTTGCAGAGATCAGCTGAAATGAGCCATGTCAGGAACTCCTGGTTCAAAACATCCTTCAAATCTGATTCTTCTGGAGAAGTAAAACTGCGAGAAATGTCCCATGATGTAAATACAAAGGAGAGAAAACAACCCAAATACCAAATATAACAGCCGCTTGTTCCGATACTCACAAATTCACAGGAACATTTTATTTTCTTCCTGTTATATCTTTGACTTGATGCATTGCTCACCAGCCTGCACACCCTGGCAACTTTTTCCTTTTTATCTTGTTTTTTTGCTGCTTACTGCCAGTTGGTTCCATCTTTTCCTTCTGTGAAACTCTCAAGGGGGGTTTTATTTATTTATTTATTTATTTATTTTTGCTAGAAAATCTGGGCATCTACGCTTGGGTTCAGAGCTCCTGTCTGACCACAGAACTTGAGAAATTAGGCTATTCTGACAGCATCAATGGGGAGGAACTGACCCTCCAAACCATGGTTTATTTGATTTTGTATTTTCAGTATGATTAGTCATTGTTGGTGTCCGATTTTCCACGTGCTCAGTCTGAGACACCTTTCTGAGCCATAACTGTGCTCCTTTTCCCCACCCAGAGTCGTTTCAAGAGAAAAACCTCTTGTTTATATAGCAGTTGGCATGCAAAGGCTGTGAAAAGCTGCAAATGCCACCAAGTACTTGTTCCAGCTAACTATTCCATGACTCGGTGTGATAGAGATTTAGTATTTTGGTGGGGAGACACTAGAATTGTGCCTGCCGGACATGCGTTGTATATACAGAGTGCCCCTCTTCTTCCACGCCACCATTTTAGAAGTTAACAACCTGTTAGGTTTTGTAAAATCCTCTTCGTGTTAAAGAAACAAAACGTTTCCCTCATTTATATGTATTTTATGTGTATATAGGATGCATCTGAGAGCAGCTTTGTGCTTGTACTAAAGCATGCAATTTATTTTTCAAACATTTGTGCCCTTCATAGAGCTTGTGGGAGGCGAGAGGGGCTGTGGATATGCTGATGCAGCACCACGTGTGGCGATGCCCGAGCGAGCCCGCAGCCAGGGGCTCAGGAGCAGAGGCACTCACTGCAGCGGCTGAGAGCTCCGTACAGAACCGTCTACCTTGCCCAGGTACCTGTCCAAAGCCAGCTCTTATCACCATCATTACTGCGAGCAAAAATCAGCCCAGGTTGGCTGAGTTGAAAAATAGCCTATAAAGGGTACAGATCAGAAACAAACGCGATTTTCCCTTAGGTCACTCAGGCTTTTCTCCTGTATAGTTTCATGTTTAGATAACAGGCGTTTCATAACATGAACCTGTAGCAGTGACACGAGGAAATAGCTGTTTGTTTTTAACTGGTTAACACTTCTTTTCCCCCTCCCTTCAAATGGGTGGATTTGATCAAATCAAAATATCTGATAGAAAATGTATGAATCCCATGTATGTTTTTTCTAGTGCTAAGTTTTCTTCTGAAAAGGTGTAAGGACTTTGTGTTGATTACATCAAAGCCCTTCACTCTGACTTCACCATTACGGTGATGTTGAAATGTTGTAGGGATGGACATGCTTCAGCCTCGTCAGAAGATAGTGCTTGGACCTTATCGGCTTGTGGAGTTGATCCTATTCCGACATTTCCAAAAACCAAAAAAACCAACGCCCCCCTCAAACTCTGTGTTTTCTGAAATGTGCATTTTGTGAGACATTTCAGAATTTTAGAAACATTCTGCCTTTGTTATTTCCTCCCTCGTGAGAGAAAATTTAAAAATACAAAATTTCCTTTGGAAAATGATTTTTTTTCCTATGCTGACACTGTTGGCACCAATTCCTACCTTGAAATATTCCCAGATAAACACTGGGGTGTCTCTCCCTCCATACAACCACAGTTTTTCCCCTTCTGTTCTCTGATCTCACCTCTGGTTTTTGTTGTTTTTTAGAAGCCAGGCAAAGAAGTCTTTGGCTTCCTGGGTGCCAAGGTCCAGGTTTTGGCCATTCACAGCTGTTACTTGGGGCTCAGCTTCCCTCTTGTATGGCTCAATGATGTTGCTGGAAAGGCAAAATTGGAAGGTATCAGCCCGGAATGCCACAAGAGGGTGCTAAAATGCTGCTTTTGCACAAAATTCAGCTGCATCCCTTTCCATCTACCAGCAGCCAGAAAAGGTGGTTTGGATAGGTGGAGGGATAGTTGTACTGTCTGCAGACAGAGAAGAAACATTTCTAGGGCTTAAAAGAAAGAACCCCAGAGAACCACTGCTGCAGTCCAAGAAAAATATTGTGTCTACGGTTTTTGTAGCTGTCTGGTGATGACAGCTCAAAGTTTGGATCATAGGAGCTCAGAAATTCTGCGCACTTACTCGCTTTTCTTCTCTCGCCTGGCCAGCAACCATTCCACGAAGTTCTTCTTGAGCATGTTGTCCATCGTGCGGCTGTAATCACTTGCCAGGGTGGCCTCGGAGTAGCGCTTCTGCACTGCCCTGGCACTGGGACTCCTTATGCTGACTCTAGGGTAAGAGCACAGAGCCAGGTGAGTCCAGCACAGATGGGGAGCAGATGCTACAAAAGCTTCTTCTTGCCATTCCTCATGCAACTCCCACAGTCTGTAAGGTTTGTAATCAGTTTTGACCCCTCTTGGTACCAGGGACCATTTCTGCACTGCAAAGTGACAGCTAGAGATGGGCTAGCACGCTTCTCACCCAGTTTGCTGGCTGCTGACACAGCTGCTGCTCGAATTCAGCCACAGAGGAAGAGCTGAGCTTGGGATATTTGGATGGGCAGTCTGGACTTGGTATGATCTTCCCTGCCCTTGCCTGGTTCACATGGACTGGAAGTCTGGCTCAGCACTAAGATACCAAGTCCACTCTGGCTCCTTCGACCTTTGTGTGAGACAACTGCATCTTGCTTCTCTTCCTGGTTGACTTCCAACCTGTCCCTCCCAACCAAGCCATGAAGTTTGTCGAACTTGGGAGTTCTTGGCTCCAGCTCAAGGGCTCAGGGCTGTGGTTTGATATGTCTCTTATCATTTGCTCATCTCTAGACACTTGGCTGTCTGCTATTCAAGATCTACCTGAGGACTATGTTCTCACCCCTTTACCGTGATGCCAGTGGAAAGAGTCCACTTGCCTGCAGCGGGAAGCTGGAAAAGGCTCAAAACATGTTGTGGGTTGTTCCTAAACACTTACCCTGAGACATTCTCTTCCATCAGAACAAGGCTCAGAGAAGCAAGAAGCAGAGAGAAAACTTTCAAAGACTTCATTTTCTTGCCTTTTTTTTTTCTGAGTACAAAAGTAGAAAGGAATTCAGATGTCTGGTTCCTGTAACACATGGGGACAGATAAGTGACAGGAAAGTAAACCCAGAAAGGCGTGTAACAGTTAGGCAAGTGTCTGTGCTTGTAAATGTGTTTCCTTGGTCCCTGGGCTTGGAATAGCCTTCTCCCTCCTACAAAGCCTCCCTTTGCCTTTCGTTGTTAACTTACTTTCTCAATGCTGGTGCTCTTTCCTACCCTAGTGTCTTTTGATGTTTGCTCCCTATAATTTTATCACAACCAACAAATTCATTGTGGGTTGCACATGCCTTGGGGCAAGGGCATTGTCTTCCTCCGTGTTTACAACCCTGGTGGTTCCTTATTCTGCTTTAGGGCTTGATTCAACCTTAAGTGTGTGAAAGGGAATATGTGTTTGGATCAGGCAGTTTAGCAGCAAATGGGAGAAACGCAGCATCCAGAGTGTCCCAAGCTACAGGATTGAGGAGGCTGCTCTAATTTCTGGGAGATTTTTCTCTTGAGAGAGGTAATGTCTTAAGTACGGAACAGACCCTCAGCCAGTGAGTATAGCTGTTAAGAAAAATATCCCGTGGACAGCGACAGGATCGGATCCGAGGACTTACTAGTTTCAGACTGTTGCGAGTCCTCACATCCACTGTTCATCTCACTAGACCTTGGACATTTGAGCTCTTTTAAATTACTATCCCAACTCTGCAAACTCTGTACTTTTTTTTTTTTTTTGGTGGCTCATAGGTATACTTTTCGTTACAGATATTTCTGGAAATTACACTGCAGGAAAGGCTTGCTGTTAACAAGAATTATGCAGTAATAAGACCCAGGACTAGATCAGAACTCAGGTATCCTATTCTTCAAAAAATGGTTTATGCATTAATGTAACTTTACTCCTGTAAGTAGCTACTCTTACAACAACCTTAGTTATTATTTTACAGAAAGGGGGAGATTGAATGTTGTTCATAATTAAGGCAATTTATTTCTAGAACGCTGCTTACAGCTTTTCATTTACAAATGTTTTCAGCCCTTCTTGGTAAGTGAAAAAATACTAAGTGGATGACATGATCTCAGATACATCAAGATCAGAAAAATACTCTTAAAAGGAAAGGTGTAACATTCTGGGCACACTGGTAAAAATCCCTGAAATATTTTTAGCTGAAACAACAGAAGATAAATAATTACAGTGTGTTAACAGCAAACACAAATTCTGTTATATAAAAAGCTGAGGAATATTTTAAATGAGAATTGAAAAAAAAAGTGTTATGATTAAATAAGTGATTAAATAACTTATATTTGGTTTTCACTACATATATTGATGATATAATATAATCATGGGTATGACAATGGATCTGAAAATAGCTAAGTTGTGGAAGAATATCATTATGCTATGAGAATTTATGAAGCTAGGAAAAGAAATGTGATTGCCTTAATTTTAAGGAGGCAATGCCCATTAAAACATTCTCTGATGATGATGAATTTACCCAAACAGGGAAAAAGAGAGGTCCAAACTTTGAGAGATTGTCAAAAAAACTAATTCTGAATTAATACAAGCCCTTTTTGCCCAAATGGCACTGAAATGGGCTCATTAGGCTCTGGGGTATCTATACGCTTTTCATCCCAAGATTTGAGAGTTTCACAAAAGGTGCTTTGCTGACCTATTCCACAGCTACCTGTAGCAGCATATTCTGCTACAAGGACTTTATAGCATGAAGGTTTTCTAGCCCCCCTTTGCAATACTGTCTGCTTTAGAGAAATATTATCTCTACTTCATCCATAGCTGGCAGGACATAAGAAACAACTGAGAACCAGTTTTCCTTTTTTTCTTCTCTGCAGCACATGTTTAAAAGCACAGACCTCAACCTGGTATTTCCTAGGTACCGAAGCCTCCCCTGAAATAGCGGTCTCTCTCTTTACAACATCCCATGCACACAGCTTCAAGTCTCTTCTGCCGAACCTAACAAGATAATTGCTGGTCTTCTGCCACTTTGGAAGAAAACTTAGCCAAAGGTACAGGTTGTTCCTGCTCTGCTGCATCTACTACCTGATACTGTAAAACTCTATTCACAGCCATTCTTAGCTTAGGAGAAAGAATGAAAATTAAAGAAAAGAAGGAGATTGATGTAGAGTTTCCTACCTTCCTGCTCCTCTGAAGCTGCCTGGAGGGTTTCAGCTGGTTCTGGTACTCAGAGAAGACCCTTCAGAGCCTTTATATATATTAGCTGTTAGGAACCGAACCCACTTGCATGAAGTAAACAGGAAACCAAGCACCCAATCAAAGCAATTCAAATCCACTTAGATCTGCTTCATTAAGTCCATTGACCTGCAAAGCAGGAAAATAACCTTTTAAGATTTGTTTACATTAATGGCAATTAAACATTACTATGTCGCAAATCCAAGAATGAATGTATTGCGGGCATGATACATATGGCATTGGTCTAGGACTTAATTCCATGTAGCACCTCTTTCCACTGGTAAAACTTTCCTTAATCTCCATCTTCTTTTTTTTTTTTTTTTTTTTTGCAAAGTGAGAATCTCATCATAGAGAGATCCAGGATGCTCCTCTGCTCTCCTAGATATGAAGGATCCCCAAACTCTCTCTCTGTGTGGCTCAGATGCCAGCCGGGGGGCACATGTCACCAGGGCCACCATTTCTCCATCCCCTGACACAACAGGAGGGCAGATGTGTCCCAGATGTTGATCACGACAGAATTCAGCAAGGTCGAAGGGAAAAGCTCCTTCCAGCAGCTCTGCCATGACCACACGCCTGGTAAGGTTGTCACCAGCATCTGACTTCCCTTACCCAGGATTGTTTGGGAGGAGTGCCAGGCCTGAAAAACACTGGTGCTGTTGGCTACTGTAATGGCAAACTAGCTATTCTGGTGATCTATGAGCCCTGGCTGATCCCAGGTGTGGACCTGGGACTCCAGGACCACCCCCCTCACACACAGGTTAATTCTACTGAAAGCGTAGAAATGGATATACATATACATATATAGATATATATATAGTATCAGTGTGAGCTCCCTGCACGTTATTGCCAAAATAAAACTCCCTGTGGCCGGTGGTGCTGATATGGAGAATACAGCCCATCCGTGGCTCAGCTCCCCAGGGCTGCTGGAGCTTTTTCAGGAGGTCATCTGAGTTACAGCCTTCCCCTCGGACCTGCCAGCATCTGCTCCCGTAGTTCCAAGAAGCTGCTCAGAGCAGGGAGGCAGCGCATCAGGATACGGAGAGATGTGTGTTCACAGCCTCCCAGGCTGGGGCTGGTTCAGTATCACCTCAGAGCTGCGTGTGGAGGGTTTCTGGTTAACGGGACTGTGCGGGGAGCAGCCCATGGTGGAACTGCACTAGTAATGGCAAAATCACCCCGTGTCACGGGTTGCGCTGTGGGAGAGGGTGTCACTGTGCTGGCACGGAGCCCCGGCCGGTCTTGCCCGTAACATGCACGGCGATCCAGCACTTCCAGCACGGCAGGGCATGTCTGCCTGTATAAAGGCTCTCCGTTTTGAAGCCCCTTTCTAAGGGCTGGTATCAGCTACAAGCTTATTTCAACTGTCGCCAGTATCCCAATATATTAACACCAGTGAAGTGCAGAGCACGGATTTAACATGCATGGACCTTGCTGTGGGCAAAGGAAAGCTCCTGCTGCTCTCATTTGCCCAGCACAACCTGCCTCTCAGACGGAAACTGTTGCATCTATACGGCATTAAGATAAACTATCAAAGGACGTAGTGCAGATTAAGACTTCAGTGCTATTAGGCAGTAATTATTACTTTCACAGGAACTACCAGACATGTGGGTCAGCCCTGCAACCAGCACCGCTCAAGCACCCCAGGCTCTCCAAGAGCTTTCACCCACGCAACACGCCTGCTCTAAGAAATGATGCAAGGTAATAGTTACAAGTAGCCTATTTCACTTGCAGCACAGTTGCTAATCAATAAAATAGAAAAGTTTATCCTGGGTGCTTAATTATATGTATTCTGGGGACTTCCATCCCAGCCAACTCAGATATCTTGTTTCTCCAAAGTGCACCCTATTTGTTTTCCTCTCATTAAGTGCCTCTATAGGATATAAAGTTAATAGAGTGAAATAAATATCCAGCAACATTAAATATTGACCTACTGTTCACAGTTACAGTTATTTCAGGGCATCTGCTCATGATCCAATGTGGACTGCAACATTGCTCTAAAATTTCTCAGAATCTTTCAAACAAACAAACAAACAAATAAATAAACAAGCAAACAGTTATACAGATAGCTGTTTGGAAATACAGGTGAACTTCCAGGCAGATGTGGTGGTGCCTGAATTTCATTCTACATGTGTGATAGCCACAGATCAATGCCTGAAATGATGAGCTTCTCCTGCCAAATGAGGTCTGCAAGGTCCAGAGGCAAAGAAGCAAGTGCTGCCCGAGGAAGGGCCACATCCCCACATCCGTGCACATCTGCCTCCTGGCAAACTCAGCAGGAGCTCAGAGCGCCGCTTCCCAGAGATGGACCTGACCCGAGCAGTCGATGTGCCAGGAATTTGGAAATGCTTTGGGAAGATCACAGCTGTGTTCCTGAAACAGTCGTCCCGGTCTGCTTGGAGACATCGAAACATTTCGGGTGTTAGATGTCCCTGTAATCATGGAAAACAGGGCTGAGAGTGACCTTTGCAGATCATCTATTCCTTCTCCTCCTTCCACATAGGATCAGCTCTACTTGAACCATATCAAGCAGACAAAAGGCAAATCCACTCCTAAAAGTGCACTGCAAACTTCCAGGGCTTTCAAACCCTGATCCCAACTAAGAACCGCTTCTGTCCTCAACACAGCCTTGCTGCTGTCAAAGCAAAAGAGGCTCTAGGCTTTCTCTGGGGCTATTTCTCTTCCCAAGCCACCAGCAATGGCATCTTGTAGAGGAGGTTAGGGACCCTCACCTGCTTCTTTTTTCACTTATCCTGTTGCATCTTGAGCACGAGTTCTTG